TGTCTACTAATATGCTTTCTTAATTTCACTTTTATACTCATTGATGTTGTTGTTGGCTTCCGTTGAGTTGAACCCTGACTCATGACCCAATGGGATCATGATCCATAGGGTTTTCATTGTCTGATTTTCAGAAATAGATCATCAGGCCTTTCTTGCTAGCCTATCTTCTTCTGGAAGCTCCACTGAAACTTGTTCAGCACCTCAAGCACAGCTACCACCCGTCTGCCAGTGGAGGCTTGCATGTTGCTATGATGCATGGAAGGCGAGCGTTCTACCACTGAAACACCACTGCCCCCTACTAACGTTTTTATTACAGTTTTATCAACTGTTAGGTCAGCATATTACATTGTAAAACAATATTGAAAGGTGCTACTTCGGGAGAATTTGCTGGAGGAATTGTGGGAGAGCACAGGGGTTAAGAGCTCAGCTGCTAACCAAAAGGTCAGCAGTTCAAATCTACCAGCTGCTCCTTGGAAACTCTATGGGGCAGCTCTACTCTGTCCTATAGGGTTGCTATGGATTGGAATCGACTCCAAGGAAACGGGTTTGGTTTTTGGTTTGGTTAGTGCAGCGGAAGTTCAGTGCTCCCTGCGCCTGCCTCTTCTTTCCCCCAGCTACACTTCCATCTCAGGCTGTGACCAGAAGCACCTCCACATTTACACCAGTGAGAACTTTCCAGCAGTCAGAGCTCATTAAAGATGGAGTAGGTTACCACAAGGAATGGTGAACTTCCTGACCCAGGATGTGGTCGGAAAGTGGCTGGAGAACCACCTGGCAGGATGATGTGACAGGGAATCTGGTGTGAAGTAGTGGTTAGACCTATCCCGCAGGGTTTCTCCTGATGTTGAGATGGTTCCATGGATCCATGGTGCACTCAGTATGAGTTGTAGTTCAGATGGGGGTGAGATTCGTGTGTTGCTTTCAGGGAAGGCTTCCAGGGGGCCATTTGAATGGGCAGGACACAGACAGGCAATAATTGCTTAAGCTTGGCAGGCAAGGCAAATGACAACTCTGCATCCTGAGGACAGCACCAAGCATAGGCCCCAAGGAAGTAGCCTTGACCCCAAGGAAGTAGAAAGCGCTGAGGGCCAGACATGTAAGATATCTTTTTGCCTGAGGGTTGAGGTCCCCAAGGGAGCAAGTTTCAGGAAGTCAGGGGGTGTCACCTGATCAAAGCTTTCAGTTTTGTCTTAATCCCAGCTCTGCTATGTCCTAGATGGGAAATCTTGGGCAAGCAGCTACATCTGGTTGAGCCTCACTTTTCTCATTAGTCAAGTGGAGATACACCTGCTTTGCAGGGTTTCGGGGCATTAAGTAGAGTTATAAAGCACCTAGACTAGGTCTGGCGCCCTG